AGAATAAATCCATACTAGCAATGGAAAACGAAGGATGCCACTGGCAGAGCATAAATCTTGAGGAATTTCTGAGACAGAAAGCAGATGTCTGAATTTATAACGAATAGAAAAAGAACAGACAGAACTGCAGAAGTAAGATCTGTTCTTCCAAACAAAGCCAAAGAAAACTGCCACACTAGTATGAAAAGCAACAGTGGGTAGAAATTTAAGGACGGCCTATAGAACAGCTGGGCCAGTCATGACCTTCTGAGAACTGCTCCCTACAAAGAGGAGACTCTGCCAGGGAAGCAAGCACATTATGAGGGTGTTAGGGCTGGAGAGAAGTAGAGCATGAAAACTTCAGGCTTTCACAAACACCAAGGAGAAAAAGTAGAGTGGGGGAGAAAAGTCAAAAGCAAAGCTAGAAAAGGAAAAAAGTTAGTTGCACTGTGAAAGTAAAGAATGTCTTTCTTACTGTGGCAATGGTATGGGCCCCCAGCCTTTAGCCTGCAACCCACACAAGCTGCCTTTCAGTGTACCCTCTCCACTTAGGCAGACATTTTAAGTCAGTTCTCCTGGCCAGGAGAAAGGACCACTTGGGAAAAAGACCTTCAGACTCACAGAGGAAACCTAGGCCAGGTTCTTACATCTATGGAAAAGCAACAACATTAAAAATGACCCAAAATAAACAAAGAGAAGATGAGAAGACAACATAATACACACACACATTTTTTCAAAAAAGATTCAAAGTAGAAACCTCACAGCAGCCTGAAATCAGGCTGTGACAAATGAAAAATCAGAGAACAAAAAAAAAATACTTGGAAAATAAAAATATGAGTGCCCAAATAAATCCAACTGAAGGAGTAAATAATAAAAAAAAGACAAGGCTTGTAGTAAATCAGCCATCTAAAACAAGGTCAGCAAACTACAGTCCATGGGCCAAATCTGCCACCCTCTAAATTTTATAAATAAAGCTTTACTGGAACACAGCCACGCTCACTCATTTACATATTGCAAAGGGCTACTCTCACACTACTATGGCAAAGTTCAGTAGCTGCGACAGAGACTGGGGACTGCAAAGCCTAAAATATTTACTATCCGACCATTTAACAGAAAAAGTTTGTCAATTCCTAATCTAGAAAATAAAGCCAAGCAAAGATCTTAGCAGGTAAGGCAAAAAAACAAAGGGATGGAAAGTATGAAGGCAAGGTTAAAAAGACATGTGGAGAATATGTTCAAAAAGTCCAACACCTGTGTAATAAGAATTCCACAAAGAGAAAACAAAAAGAAGGGTGGGGAGGATATACTCAAAGAAATTAGAGGAATGTTTTCTAGAACTACAAAAGGTTAAGTTCTTAGATTCAAAGGAACCACTGACTACGAGCAGAATGAACAAAAAGATCCATGTTTAGATCTACCATAGTAAGTCAGGGCATACTAGAGAGGGGTAAGAGAAAATCCAAAAAGTTTCTAAAGAATAAATCCAGGTTGTTTACAAAAGAATAAGAATGTTTGACATCAGATTCCCTTTTTATGATGCTGGTAAAATCTTAATATCTAAATTAGATAAGGATAGGCTGAAAAAGGAAAAGCACAAGATGAACACCATTCATGAATATAGATATACAAATTAAAAAGCATCATTATACATGAACCCAGCAATGTGTAAAAAAGCTGAGTGGCTGAGTACATGGATATTCATTTTATTAGTCTTTAAATTCTATATATATATACATATATATATATGTGTATATATATATGTATATACACACTTATGTGGTTATATTTCGCAATTTAAAAAGTTTAAAAATTGGGAGTGACATGAGTGTCACGGCGGAGTGAGCTTTCCCATAAACTCTTCCCCCAATAAGATACAACAAAAGGAATAGTCACAGACCAACAATGGACTCCTAGACAGTGAAAAGGAAGATCAGAAAGATCCATACTGCCACACATCTGAGAGTGGACTGTGCTGGGGCACCCGGAGGAGGTGAGGAGAGCTAAGGAGAACTCCTCTCCCTCCCCATCAGATCAGCGATCCCGGTCTGCTGGGCTCCCAGAGATGGGGGAGTGGCGGCCCTCTGCAGGGAAACTGCAGCTCTTGGGGCTCTCTGGCCAGTGGGAAACTCCCACACAGAGGACTCAGAACTGCTACATCAATACCTGAGCATCCCAGCAGAGTGGATAACAAGGGGCGAGCAAGAAGCCCCCCACGCCAGGGACCCAGCAGGCAAAAGAGAGAGCCCCCTCCACATGCCGGACACTGCAACTCAGCTGACCAGACCAAGTGGCCGGCCGATCACAGCGAGCAGCTGGGGCAGAGCACAGGGGGCTCAGATTACACAGCCCTTAACCCCCACACAGTGACAGCGGGTGGAAATCGCAACCAGATATTTCCAGGATGAGGAAAAACAAAGCACATATAGGAACCACAATGCAAAGGTACATGAAATCACCACACCAGAAGGAAAATGACAAGAAACCAACCCTGCAGACAGAAATCCATAACCTAAACGACAGAGATTTCAAAACAGCTATCATAAAAAAACTCAACAAAATACAAGATAACACAGACAAACAATTCAATGAGATTAGGAGTTTCTTCACAAGAGATTGAAATCATAAAGAAAAACCAATCAGGACTGATGGAGATGAAGAACACAATGGAGGAGATAAAGGAGAATCTGGAATCTTTAAAGAACAGAGCTGACAACATGGAGGAAAGAATTAGCATTATAGAGGATAGGAATACAGATATGCTCCAGATGGAAGAGGAGAGAGAACTAAGACTAAAAAGAAACGAAGAAAGTCTCCGAGAAATATCTGACTCTATTAGGAAATGTAACATAAGAATTATAGGCATTCCTGAGGGAGAAGAGAGGGAAAGAGGAACAGAGAGCCTATTCAAGAAAATAATAGCTGAGAACTTCCCAAATCTGGGGAAGGGGCAGGAAATACCAGTAAGTGAAGCCAATAGGTCGCCTAAATACGTCAACAGGCACAGGCCCACTCCACGACATACAGTGGTAAGGCTAGCTAAAGTCAATGACAAAGAAACAATATTAAGGGCAGCTAGACAAAAACAAAAAATAATGTACAAAGGAACTCCCATCAGGCTCTCAGCGGATTTCTCAACAGA